ATTGCATTGTGTTTGCTTTCATGGCTAATATTTTCCTGGAGTTTTTGTTGCGCTCTGCACAAACAGGAGTGTTCGTGATTATCACTCTGCCCGACAACTACATGAATGTTACCCTGGATAACTTTACCCTCCAGTGGGGGAAGGGGAAGAAAATGAGCACACACAAATGTTGCAACTTATACTTGCAGCTTACCTTCTCGCAAATTTGGGTATTTGTGCCAGATATGATGCAAGTATTTAATTGTGGCATTTGCATGGCGTTATCCTTACTCATGTGTCACAATTTGGACATCATTCTGGCTTGAAATGGATTGTGCTGGATGAGTCCACCTCTGTGCCACTGCAGTTAGACTATCCCTATCCAGGAAAGAGTGCAGTTGACATATCAGTCAAAGCCAAATTTCAGGAATACTATCTTCAAGTTGAGTGTTGGCAGGTCACAAATGGAGCGCTAGGGTTGCCTACCAGTGCCATAACAGATTTCTTAGTTTTAAAGATGCCATAATAGTCATTCCAGCCATAAGGACCAGAAGCTTAGTTTTGACAAAAAGCAAGTTGAGATTCTTAGAAAACTGTGCAGTTTTATGTAGACTTACACAGTTTTGAACCTCATAACACTGGTAGCAAATGTTCATTCATCAGACACATTCCCTGAATACCCCAAAAGAGGATGCACATTTTTGCATTTAAGGATAGTGGAATGTTAATAGTCCAAGAGAATAGCCTGAAAACACTTGATTCGGCAGTGCCCTGAAGGTAACTAAATAAATCAGTGGTAAGTTCACATACCGTTCCAAGATAGAGATAACCATGTTTCTTGCAGCAAGGAATCTGGCTTTTTTTTTTTTTTAAAAATAAAAAGGCATTTGACACCATGGAGATGTAGCTGAAGATGCCATGACTTCACCCTGGCTTTTTTTCTTTTTTTTTCTTTGGCAAGGTTTTGCGTATATTTGAACACTTTGGGAATTGGGGTTAAGGTTTATGGACTCATTTTCTCCTTTTTCCCCCTCAAAAAATAAAATTGATTTGGGTTTTCCTCATATTTTAAAGGCGTGAAATGGAACCCATATTGCCTTTGAACTCTATTTACAAGAAGATTAGGCCAAAACTTTTGCCTTCCTACACACAAAACCCCTTTTATTTCAGGACTACTTTGGGGCTGCAAAAGGCATACTGAGAGATCACCTGCAGCCCATCCCCTGTGCCAAACCATAGCAGATTCAGTTTGATTTTACTTAATCACCATGGGTGAACTCAGCCATTGTGGCCTGTTACTATGGTTGAAATATGGCTTAGGGGTCAGCCCAGCCAGTGGCTGCAGAAGTGACCTCTTCTGTGCCTTGATGTGATAGAAGAAGAATATCAAATAATCCTAAAGGGGAATTAATTTAATTGGTGTGGGCTTGAGGTTGTAACAGGTGGTGGCCACAGCACTAGACAACCTTGGCTGATCCAGCAGGGTTGAACCCCAGCGCAGTGCCTGGCTTATGGAACAGCCTCCCCCCTGAGATTCAGACCATCTTGGCCTTCTGGGAGGCTGTGAAGAAATAGGGTTTTCCCCCAGGCATCAGAGCCAGGATGTTAGAAGAATCCAATAACTGCCTGTTTTTGTGTTGAGAGTTAGTTATTAGTTGGCTATTGTATTATGATAATTTTTAATTGTATTTTTTTGTTCTGTTTATAGGGGTTTGATCATACTTTTTTGTGTGTGTCCATAGGCTGTTAGCTGTCCAGAGTTATTTATTTAAGATGGGCGGCAATGTAAAATTTCTAAATAAATAAATAAATTAATTTATTTGTTCAATTTATATTCAAA